ATTGAGAATTGTTAGTTCCCGTGCAATTTCATGAATCGCTCGCATTAGATTAGGTTTCTCAACAGTTTTGTATCTTTCTTATAGATCAAGTAAAACAATATAAAGATTATACGATTCCGCATCCAATCATTCGTCCGAGAACCATTTTCCCTTGGAACAGGCTGTAGAACAAGAATTCAACCCCAACACCACACCATCAAGCCCTCTTAGTAAATTAGATCCATACAAGGATTCAAACGGCGTTATTAGAGTTGGTGGACGACTCAATCTATCTGACGTCCCCGGGCAGTGTATTCACCCGGCAATTCTGCCGAAAACCGGTCACGTGACTGAAATCATTATCAGGCACTATAATCACAAATACCGACACGAAGGCAGAGGGATCGCGACTAATGAAATCAAAGCAAGTGGTTACTGGATCGTCGGAGCTACTTCAGCCGTATCGTTGGCAATATCTACATGTGTTACGTGCTGTACATTACGAGGTAAATTACAGGAGCAACGTATGGCTGAATTACCGCATGATCGATTGGAAACAGTGCCTCCATTCACCAATTGCGTAGTTGATTATTTTGGCCCCTTCGTGATCAGGGAGGGTCGCAAGGATCGTAAACGTTACGGAGTGCTATTCACCTGTATGGCTTCTAGAGCAGTACACGTCGAGGTAGCCACTACTTTGGAGACCGATTCCTTTAGCAATGCCTTCCGAAGGTTTGTCTCCAGGAGAGGTCCTATTTGGCAGTTACGCAGCGACCAGAGTACGAATTTCGTGGGTGCCAGAAGAGAGTTAAAGGCAGCTTTAGAAGAATTGGACCATGATAAGATCCGAAGTGTGCTACAGTGCCACCATTGCGGTTGGTTTGTCTTTAAAATGAACGTTCTGTAAGCCAGTCACATGGGTGGTGTATGGGAGCGACAGATTCGCTCAGTATGCAACGTCCTGTCGTCTCTATTGCAAACGAACGGTTTCCAATTCAACCACGAAGCGCTTACAACCTTCATGTGCGAAGCGGAGGCAATAGTAAACAGCCGCCCACTCACAACTGACTCCTTGAACAATCCAACCTCTCTGAATCCGTTGACGCCCAACCATCTATTAACAATGAAAACGAAAGTGCTCCTTCCACCGCCTTTTGTGTTCCAAGCCCCTGATAAATATCGCAGAAAACACTGGAGACGAGTACAGCACTTAGCAAACGAATTTTGGATCAGATGGAAGAAAGAGTACTTGCTTAATCTGCAACAAGGACAGAAATGAAACAAGCCCAGATGAAACGCGTGCGTTGATGACATCGTCTTCATTAAGGACGATGAGAATCTTCCCCGCAATCTATGGCAGCTGGCTCGAGTGACCGAAGCTTATCAGAGTGCTGACGGTCATGCACGCACAGTTAAACTTGCTGTCGCAGATAACACACTGGATAAAAGGGGCAGACGTGTTAAACTCTGCAGATTCCTGGAACGCCCCGTGCAGAAACTCTTACTGTTACAAGAAGCAAGTGAAACCTGAGGTTCATCCCCAACGAGGAGCCACGAATACAAGTAGTTTTAACCTTAATTAACCCTTATTACTTTGCGAACATCTAGTTGTGCTTTATGACTTTAAATAGCTTTGCATCTTGG